ACCCTGCCTTGAGTGTGACAGGGGGCGGTGCCCCACACCCCCCAATCGGCCCTACCCTGAGCATGACTGAGGGTGGCATCGCAACCTCCTGATCCGCCCTGCTCTGTGCATGACAGGGGGCGGTGCCCCAACTCCCCAATCGGACCTGCTCTGAGCCTGACCAGGGGCTGCACCTAGGGATTGGGCATGCCCTCTGCCACCCGGGAGCGGGCCTAAGCCAGCAGGTCGTTATCTCCCGAGGGGTCCCAGACTGCGAGAGGGCACAGGCCGGGCTGGGGGACCCCCCCCTCCCTCCCCCCCCATGAGTGCACAAATTTTTGTGCACCAGGCCTCTAGTATATATATAAAACTGTTGATTGGGTCAGGGAAAAAATAAGATCAACTTATTGTATGCCAAAAGATCTTTTAAATTTCAAACTAAAAATTAATTAATTAATTAATTAAGTTAATCTCAAACTAAAAATGAGAATTAACTTAAAACATTAGAAGCAGTCCCAGGAGATTCGGGAACAAAACGTAGGTGCTTACTCTCACTATTTAACATTTCTTTATTTTAAGTCCTAGTTGATGCAAAAGAGAAAAGAGCTATAAATATGGAAAAGAGAAGGTAAAATTATTTTTTGCAAATACCATAATTCTCTATTTGGAAGTCGAGGTAATTAACTGAGAAACTTTGAAGAATAAAATAATTCAGTAATTCGCTACTTACAAAAGTAATACACTAAAATTTTAAAAAGCCTTTCCCGTGTATGAACAGCCAGTTAGAAAATAAAGTGAAATAAAAGAGCCAGTTTTATAACCACAAGAAAAAGTTTACCAGTTAGAAATTTATCTCTCAAGAAATGTGTAGGAGACATTTTTTAAAACTGAGTGATGATAAATGACAGTTATGGAAACTAGGAAAACATACCTTGTTCTTGAATGAGAAGATTTGATATTTTAAATATATCAGTGTCCCCTGAAGTAATCCGTAAATTTAATGCAGTTCCAACCAGAACACCCAACATACTTTACAGAATTTTTTTTTACAAAATGACCAGGGAAATGTAAATATGAAAATATTTAGGAAAATTTAGAAAAAAGAACAGTAACAGTAGGGCAACTGACATTAAAAATGTATTAAAAATTAAAGCTTCCATAATTAAGATAGAATTTTATGATGCAGATAAGTAGAAAAGAATAGAGTCCACAATACCTGTGGGAAATGATGGAGGCCTGTTGGTAAAGAGGCTTGGTTCTGGAATCAGACTGTACCTGGGTTTGAACCCCTTCTCTTACTGGTCACTAGCTCTGTGACCTGAAGTAAGTTAACTTGATAAGCCTCCTTTTCTTCAGCTGTAAACGGGGTGGTAATAGGATTTGCATTTGTGGGGCTCTTAGGCTGTTAAATGAGATTATGCACTTAGCGTGGTGTCTGTTCCATGGATGTTCAATAAACATTGGTTTAGGGGTTTTTTTTATTGATTGATTTTATAGAGAGAGAAGGGGGGGCATTGATTTGTTGTTTCATTTATTTATGCATTCACTAGAGCCCAGTGCATTAAATTCATGCACAGGGAGTGGGGGGGTGGGGGTCCCTCAGCCCAGCCTGCACCCTCTCCAATCTGGGACCCCTAGGGGGATGTCCGACTGGCAGTCGGACATCCCTCACAATCCTGGACCACTAGCTCCTAATCGCTCGCCTGCCTGCCTGGTCGCCCCTAACTGCCCCCGCCTGCCAGCCTGATTGCCTCTCACTGCCTCTTTGTGCTGGCCTGATCGCCCCTAACTACCCCCTCCCTGCTGGCCTGGTCGCTCCTAACTGCCTGCGCCAGCCTAATCGCCCCCCAAATGCACCCCCTGCCGGCCTGGTCGCCCCACACAGCCTGCTGTTCAGTCATTTGATCATCCCTCACTAATCCCCCCCCCCCCCCATACACACCTGACCGGGGATGGGACCTGCAACTTAGGTATGTGCCTGACTGAGGACTGAACCCAATACCTTCCAGTGCACAAGACAGTGCTCCAACCAACAGCCACACCTACCAGGGCTGGTGACATTTTTAAAACTTGGAGTAGGCAAAGCCTTTATAAGACAGAAGCCACATGTAGTTGAAAAATTGATAAGTTTGACTACACGAAATTAAAAATATTTGTAGTGCCTAAATATACCATTTAAAGGATCTACAGATAAAAGGAACTCGGGATAAATTCTTTTTGTCTCATGTATGACAGAGCTAGCTAATTTCCTTATTATCTTAGAAAGCTTTTTTTTTTTTAGAAAGATGTGTACTACTAAGTAGTAAAATTATCAAAGGCGAAAGACTGCATACTGTCTTATTCTGTTTATATGAAGTCTAAGAACAAGCAAAAACTAAGTCAGAAAGTGATTGCTGGGTAAAAGGGGAGTTGATTGGAACGGAGCATGAGTAAACCTTCTCAAGTAAGGGAAATGTTCTGTATCTTAGACACTATTGACCTTACACTTCAAAGATCCTTGAATTTTATTAAATGTTCACTTACTTAAAATTGATAAAAGTCCAAGGACATGAGCAGATTTACAGAAAAAGAAGTATAAATGAAGTATTAAATTTAAAAGATGCTCTACTTTCAACTTAAAGAAATCTAAGTTAAAGCAAGATGCCAATTTCAGTCTACCATAATTGAAAACAATTTTTATAAATTTAATAATATCCAGTGGAGAAGAGGAGTTAGAAGGGAAAGGTAGGCAGTGTAAATGGGCAAGGGACTTTAAAATTGGCATGGACTTTTGAGATGGAATTTAGATAACTACCTGTTGACTGGAAATTTTGCTTCTAGTACTTTTTCCTGGTGATAGATCTCACTCATGAGTGAGCAAAAATATGTATTTGGACATGTTCACCCTGTCATTGTCTCAAACACAAAATGCAAGCAAACCTAAACTGTCACCAACATGAGTGTGTCAGCTAAATTATGGATCACTCTCGTATGATGTGCAGGCAGTAAAAAGGGATAAAGTTGATAGAGCTGTATGAATTGTTACGGAAATGTTTTTTTATATAAAGTAAAACCCCTTACAAGAATGAATAAGATTCCATTTAAGTAAAAATAATGTATGCATAGAAACTTCCTTAAAGAATATATAAGAAATAGTAAGCACTGGTTTTGAAATATTCCTTCTTCCTTTCTTTTTCTTCCTCTCTTTCTGTTTTTGTTTTTAGGAAAATGTCTGATGAATTTTCGGTAAGTTGATGCACTTATTCTTTATAAGTTTTTAGCTCTTAAGAAAACAACATAGTCCTAATAGTGGGCCTTAATTCTTTCCATTTAAAAGAATTCTGTGATTCTTGGGTTTTGGTGGGTCAGAGGTGATGGTGGTATGTGATTTTGATAGGTTATTTGTCTTAATTTACTTATATATAACGTTTGAAAATACATTTTGAAGTATTTCTATATGAATCCTTAAGTAAAGAATTTTTAAGTGTTCTGTGCTCTTTTAACCTCATATTAATAATAGCCAGGTTCATTAAAAATTAAATGCCAGGCACTGTGTTAACTGCATTACATAAATTATCTCATTTAAGCCTCAAGTTTAACCCTAAAACTATTTTTTGAGGAAGCTAACTTTCAGAGAAATAATGTAACTTGTTTGAGGTAAAGCGAGATTCAAATCTACAATGCATTAATTAGTTGTATTTAGAAAACTTGAGCTTCTTTGAGAATTTTGCACTGCAAAGTTGATATTCAGGATAACCCCTCAAGTTTTGTATTAAATGAATTGTTTTTAAACTGAACAGCTTCGCTTTTGAAGATGTTATAGAGGTTTATAATCATGTTTGGCGTGACTTATTCCTAAATAAGATCGGTAAGACATGCCTTTTTTGTATTGCAGTTGGCAGATGCGCTACCTGACCACTCCCCTGCCAAAACTGCTGTGAGCAATACAAAACCTAGCCAACCTCCTCAAAGCTGGCCAGGTTCCAACCCTTGGAATAACCCAAGCGCTCCACCTTCTGTGCCATCTGGACTCCCACCGAGTGCAGCACCCTCCACTGTGCCTTTCGGATCAGCGCCAACAGGAATGTATCCTTCTGTGCCTCCCACTGGACCACCTCCAGGACCCCCAGGACACTTTCCTCCGTCTGGACCATCATGCCCCCCGCCTGGTGGTCCTTATCCAGCCCCAACTGTGCCAGGTCCTGGCCCCACAGGGCCATATCCTACACCAAATATGCCCTTTCCAGAGCTTCCGCGACCATATGGTGCTCCCACCGATCCAGCTGGTCCTTTAGGTCCATGGGGATCCATGTCTTCTGGACCTTGGGCACCAGGAATGGGAGGGCAGTATCCTACCCCTAATATGCCATATCCAGGGCCATATCCCACACCTCCTCCTCCCCAAGCACCAGGGGCAGCACCGCCTGTTCCATGGGGCACTGTTCCACCAGGAGCCTGGGGACCACCAGCACCATATCCTGCCCCTGGAGGATCATATCCCACACCAGGACTCTATCCCACACCCAATAATCCTTTTCAAGTGCCTTCAGGACCTTCTGGTGCTCCACCAATGCCTGGTGGCCCCCATGTGAGTGTTTAATTTGTTATTTAATGTGCACTAATAGTCACGCACAACTAAAAGACTACTTGTCTCCAGTTTGTGATGGAGGATTAGAAAGCTTTTTAAACTTTCTAAGAAAAAGGTGGGTGGGTATGTGTAGAGTAAATTTCAAATTTCAGGTAAAGCATTTAAAAAGATAAAAACACAGTTATGGTATTCCCAGTACTAAAAATGAAAAGAAAAATTTTCCAAAGGTCCTCAAAGTCATTGTAATGTAGTAAGTAATGTCCTCAACAGCATTTTTGAGGTAAAGTGAGAGATGCATTACATTAGACTTTTAAAAAACATTTCTCAATAATATAGTATCACACCAAAGCACAGATCAATAATAGCAATCTCTGCCTGGCTGGCTTGATACAGAGGTAGATCTTTTCTTTCTGGTTGTAGTTGACATTCAATACTATATATTTTAGCTGTACTCACCTGTTAATAGTGTAATTGTTAACAGAAGCTTCAAAATAAGTCCAGCTTCTCCTTTTTTTAGATGATGAATCAGTGGTATACAGTTTCATTATATTGAGTTTTGGTTTTTTTTAGAGAAACATCAGTTTGTTCTACTTATTTATGCATTCATTGGTTGATTCTTGTATGTGCCCTGAACCAGGATCAAACTCACAACCTTGGTACATCGGGATGATGCTCTGACCAACTGAGCTACCTGGCCAGAGCTCATTATATTTATTTTTATATAACATTTATACACAAACTTTATTCTGTTAGAAGCAGACCGAAGAAACAGTTACTAGAGGTAGATTTTTAGGTCATCCAGGGCAGTGAATATGTAACATTGCCGGTCTTCGGTGCAACTTTCCATAGTGTTTTTTAGCCAAAGTTTTGTTAGATTCTTAGCAGCATTCAGCTCAAGGTCCTAACCACTGTTCTGAATTGTCAGTTATGTGTAATGCTTTATGCTTTACTGTCTGTCAGCCAAACTGGAGTATTGTTGACATCTTAGTTGAGGAGCTTGTCTAGGGCATATGACAATATAGAGAAGCAGCCCACTTCTCCCATGAAGTAAGCTAAGTGAGTATTCAAACAGTCAGAATTCTCCCGGGGGGGGGGGGGGGGGGGGATCTATTTACTCTTAACAAAATAATCAGTCTCCAACTGGATTAACTAAACATCTACCTCAACTGTAAAGGAAGAAAAGCTTAGTTAAGTACCTCCAACGCTTCTTTTCATTATTTTAACTTTTTATATATTCGCTTTAAAAATTATTTTTGTAAATTGTATGCCAAAATAAGTGGGATGGCTTGCTGTTTGGATTTATTAAGCAATAAGTTTAAGCCATAGCCAGGAGTTAAGCTCCATTTACAAAATCTAGAAGTTTACTTTTTTTTTTTTCTATTGCAGTCTTACCATTAAGTTAATGGATGAAGAGATGACGCTTTGCTTTTTGAAGTACATATATATGCACATGAATGCATATATAAAAATTGCTGGTTTCACTATTAGAGGGCATTCATGAAAGAACAACTCTTGCACCTCTCAGAAGATATCTGCCTCTTGTACTTGGATGTATAATATATCAGATGGATACAATCAGATAAAAATGTAAATCATTCAAATGTGATTTTTATTCAGTTTTTATGGAAAGTGAAAATAAGTATATTGAATAGCTCTTTGATATAATTTGTTTAAAACAAATTTTGGATTTGTTTAAATTATGAAACTACAAATTTAAAAATTTAAGATGATGTGTGGATTATTGTTAGAACCTGCAACCTCATTGGCAAATTATTTCAAGTATTTTTCTATAATCACTTTTTCCTTAAATGAACACACTTTGAAAAATGTTCATTGTCATAATTTAAAAAATTATGCCTCTCAACATCTTGAGCTGTTCTATCCATAGAATAAATAAACAGTCCTCTTGAGGTTATGTTTTGAATATACATTTTAAAACTGGCAGTAATTATCAGATGTTGAGTTTCTTGAAATTTTAGTTAAAGCTTTCATTTTGAATTTCACCTGATTTGTTTTACGTTTAACCAAGTGGGTCAAACAGCTCTTAAATCTGCCATTTGTGGAAACTTCTTTTTAATGCAGGCCAGCATGTATGTAAATTATACTCTTAAAGCATTGGTGATCTCTGTGTTGCTTTAGAATAGCTTGAGATGTCCATATTGCTTTGAGAAGAGCTCAAGGAAGGAAATAATTCTCTCCTTTGTCTTGAACCTCACAATAGAGGCAACCTTAGGCGTTGCTTCATAAGGACAAGTAATTTGTATTCCCACACATCACTCTTCCACACAGTCCCTTCCTTATAGCCCCTTCTTCCTCAGTTTTTTAGGAGCACATCCTTTAATTCCTCCCTGATACGGAAAACTGGCACACTCTAGGGGCTATCATAAACACATGTAGCAGTTATGTTTAAAGAACCTTAGTCACACAGGCATGACTGTTCTCTTTGTACAAGTTGATCAAAATATGATCTGTCAGAGTCTGGTTAAGCTATGTCATTGTCTCTTGCATAGTTTCCTGGATCTGTTTGTAAAGTGCTTACAGCTAACAGTTCAGTTCTGTATTTGTTGACAGGTAAATAGGTAGAATTAAGTGCCATCCTTAAAAATTATCCTTTTACTCTAACACTGAAAATAATAAAGTGTAGATCTCTGCAATTGAGTTTAAAGAAGTGTGATTGTATTACTTAAATAAGTGTTGTTTTACCACCAAAATAGTCCGAGTAGTTTCTTGGCACCTTATCTTTAAATCAGATTCTTAATTTTCAGATAGAACTGACCATGTTATTCTTGAAATAACTTTTTGAAACTTAATATATTCATTGGGTTACTAAAATGTATTGTTAATTTCTTCATCGGTATAAGACAAATTTATGCTAGAATTCTTGTTTTTGCTTAGAAATATTTAGTAGTTTAGTTTTCTTATAGTTAAAATGTCAAGAATGCCAAATGCTGCCAATTTAATGATTTGATAGCTACCTCCTTTTACGAAAGCAAGATGGTCACCTTTGGGAGGAAAATGTCAGTGTATAAACCTCCCTTTAAAGTAGAAGATAGATTCAAGCTTACAGAATTGAAACTAATTTGTTTAGATATTTTCAGACTCGTGAATGTTGTTAGACAGTTCTTACATAGTGGCACAAATGGTCTTTTTTATCTTTCACCTCCTTGCAAGGCCAAGTGGCAACTATTTACAACACTTTGGGTATCTATTGTCAAGGTAGCCTCCAATTCACAAGGCAGGTAGCCTTAGAAAGTGTCCTATCTTAAATTATCCAGTCAGTTTCATGTCAGCTAACTGGAGGCATAAAATGAGGAAAAGTAAGATGGCAGCAAATATATCACTCCTTAAGCTTATTTTGGTTGTCCTGTACTAGGACTAAGTTGACAACTCTGGCTTAAGATGGGATAATTAATGTAACACTGGAAGGATGATGTCTGACTAAAAGAAGAAGAGGTAGCAAGTTTGGGAGTCTGTAACTGAGGAGCCCGTTTATTATTGGAGAAAATCTTCTGTTAAAGGATTTGAAAGACCAGGAACACAAGATTTGGAATTACTATTCCCAGTAAGTATATTAACTTTACTAATGACCCACACTGCACCCTAGACAATACTGCATTTTAACCTTTGCTTTACAAGACTTTCCAATGGGATTTTTTTTTTTTTAATTTTTAACGGAAAAATGGAAATCAAAGGGAACAGAATTTGCTTCTATATTTGCAATTCTTTAGAGAATCATTTCTCAAATTGGGGGAGAGGTTCTCAATTCTCAAAGGTACTCTGGACAAAAAGTATTTTTAGGTCCAGGGTGGAGTAAAGAAAATCAGACATTTCGGTGGGGGAAGCATCTAAGGAAGATTTCTTTTTACAAAGGAATAATTTGCTTTCAAAAATAAGTCATGCTAGGCTAAGATGAGTTTATGGAAGACTACTTGTTAGTCTTAAGGGAATGTGAAGTGTGGAATATGTTGGCATTTGGACTTGAAGAGCAAGAATTTTAAAATAAATTTGATGGAGATAGCTGAGGTGTGTTTAAGAATAGTGTTTCTGGAGTTCGAATGTTAGACTTTGAAATGTTGAACCTATAAAATGACAATGAAAAATTAAACTTTGGACCTTATATTCACACATTCAGTTTTCAAGAATCAAGGCGCCTTAAACAAGTTTAATATCTTGGCTTGTCTTTGCTGGACTCGGCCGGACACCTTTTCATGCTTGAGGATGGCTGCTTGCAGCTCTGACTCCTCAGCCCTGTTTTGTTTAAAGCTATATATTGATTATGCAGGAACAGACAAAACTTTTTTTTTTAACCAAACAATCTATATTTGCAGTAACTGAGGCTGTTTCTTGCTGCAGGGCTGAGAAGTGCTTGGCTTGCTGAGCCAAGACAGGTTCTGCCTTGTTCACAAAGGTTTCCCGATCATAGTCTGGCTGCTCCGTCATCTTGGAGAGCTCAAGCCAGCCTGGCCCTTGGCCCTTGCTGTTTAATCTCCTGAGCTCTCCCATGGTCCTCTCCTCCAGCTCCCTGTTCTGAGTCACGGCCTCAGTAAAGCTGGACATCTGGGAAGACATTTCCTCTTCTCTAGAAAAATTGCCTGTGATCAGGGACCCATGTGAGCTGGCTTCTGTCTCTTCTGTTTCCATTTGAGTTGGCTGCTCCCCACTGGGCCCACTCTGGGGGCTCAGCTCCATGATGCTGTCTGCATGTCGTAGTGTATTCAAAGTGTATTTGCAGGAGCTTGTGCCTGGTGAGATCACCGCAGTCCATGGCTCTTAGCTGGAAAAAATAAGACATTTTTAATTACCCAAGGGCTTCCTCCCTTCTTTGTCCATTTTACTGTTTATTATTTTGAGTAGATAACAGTAATAGAACAGAGAAGAAAAAGGGTGAATTTTTGGCCTTGGTCTGTCATACCACTACAATGGAATATTGGAATATTTTCTGGGAAAGAAGTCAGTTGTGCCCATATTTTACCTCATAAATAATTAGTGCTACCTATTGTACTCAGATGTACAGCTTTTGAAGTTTTGTGTAGGTGAACATAGTTCTCAAAGGTTCAATAAAATACTGTGCCTAGTTTGCCTATCAATCAGTTGCCTACACTTGTAAACAGTGAGTGCCATGTCTTCCTTCCTTACCCTGAATAATCTAGTGCTGGTTTTATTTAAGTGCCACAGCTATAAATCCTGGGAATTAAACCTGAGCACAGACCTTCCAGTGTTAACGTTTTTGAAAAGCAGAAGGCTCAACTCGGATGAATCATGCTGACGCACTTAGAAAATGGTGGGTGGCTTTCAGGGAAGACTATAATTTAATCCTAATAGAGCAATATTTAGTATGAAGACACTTTATTTTCAGAATTCTACCAAGTAAAATAAAAATTGCCAATAAAATGATCAGTATTAAAGAAATGCCATGCAATCTTCTGGCTTTTGACTATTTCTGAGAACTGCATTCATCCAGCAGACATAAATGTCTGTGATCCAGGTGCTTTGCCAGATGCAGAGATAAAGAGATGAAAGCGAATGCCTGTCCTTGAGAGGGTCCCAGTCTAGGGGTGGCATTACAGAATTCATCAGTGTGCCCGTTATCAGTTTAACCTACATCCACATATTTTGGTATTCCTGCTGGTGGAAATTATAGACCAGCCTTTGGGCATTTTAAAGAGCAATGTATGCCTATACTTTTTTTTTTCTTTTTGAAGTAAGAAGTTAATGTTTTCCAAGACTATGGTTTTGTCAGTATAACTTTTCAAGCATGCAAAGTAATGGGATGTTTTTCCTCCTTACTTTCCCCTGGATGAAGGCACTTTCACTGCCTGTCATTGATTAGCGGATACTGATTTGTTGCCATTAAGTAAACTTGATTTCTTTGTGCTCTATAAAGGTTTTCTGTATTTTTTTCTTGATATTGTTATTTTTTCATTGACTTAATGACAAATTTAATGTATGTAATTGTCTATGCATTTTAAGTTAAACTGCCTAGAATGTGATTTGAGACATATACATTTGTATTATGAACTGTAAGCAATGTGTTTGAGACGTTAGGTTTTATCACCTGCTGCTGTATTTGTAAACAAAGACAAATGTTGCTTTAAGAAGTAATTATAATTAGGACTAGACAATGGATGTGATACTTGATATTTTTAAAGAAACTTTTTTGCTTTTGTGTATTATACCTGAAAACTTCTAAAAAAATGTATTTTCATGGCTTCACAGTTTTTCCATGTATTTTATTCTTAGGCCCAATTCTGGGCTTCCCCGAGCAAGTCCAGAGCCTAATTAACTGCAAATTTATTGACATAAAGAAAGACAAAGGGCCTGAGTCACCCCTCTGTGTGTGACCTGCACTCAGAGGCATTTATATAGGCTCTCTGGGAACAACCCTTCCTCCACAAACCCTCTTTTAGCAACTTGTGCCACTGTGAGGATTTCCTCTTCTCCCTTCAAGGCCAAGCTGTTCTTTGTAACCAAGTTATCTATATACAAAGTTAGGGAACCTTCCCTATCTGCCCCGGCTGCCACCACCCCTGCTTTCTTTTATGAAAGACAGTTTTGCTCTTTCCCTAACTGCTGTGCCATTAGTGACAATCACACTCTTGAATTTGGTATAGTTTGCCATTTCCTTTCCACAGAGGGGGTGTGGGGTTACTGGCCATTCTTTAACCCCAGTGTGAAGGGACTGTGAATGAATGAATAATTTATAGTATGTTGTGCTTTGGAAAGGGAGTTCTGCTTTTTGCCTTATAATTGGACAAAATGCAACTATTAACTTTTTAAATTCCATTTGTTGTCTTATTTCATATCCCCCAGTGATTGGCAAACTGCGGCTCGCGAGCCACTTGCGGCTCTTTGGCCCCTTGAGTGTGGCTCTTCCACAAAATACTGACTTCTGCGCATGGGCCACGAAGTTTCAATCGCACTGTACGTGCGTGCCCCACGTGGTATTTTGTGGAATAGCCACACTCAAGGGGCCAAAGAGCCGCATGTGGCTCGCAAGCCGCAGTTTGCCGACCACTGCCCTAGAAGCTGTGAGAAATAAGATGAAGCTGTGAGATATAAGACCACTTGGGAATGGCAGTTTTCCCCCCCATTGTGAAGTGACATTGCTTTAACAAGCATTCTTTCCTGGGTACCTGACCCAAGTAGGTTTGGTGTGTTTTAATCCTCACCCAAAGACATGCTTATTGGTTTAGAGAGGGGGAGGGAGAGGGAGAGAGAAACATCAATGTGAGAGAGAACATCGTGTGCCTTCCGTAAGTGCCCTGCAACCTAGGTATGTGCCCTGACCAGGAACCCACAACCTTTCACTATAAAGAACAACTCTCCAACCAACTGAGCCACAGCAGCCAAGGCCCAAGCAGCTTCTTTTGTTACCACTATACTAAAACTTAGCACCCTTTTGCAGCAAATCTGTAAAGCAATATAGAATCCTAATTATTAGCATCGTCTTATTTTCAATAAGGCGATGCTATAGAATTTCAATACCACAAGAGAATTTGGGCCATCTCCTACAGTTTGTGTCTGTAGCACTTCAGCATTATTCATATTTGGTTGGGCAGGTTTTTATGCTGGTGCATTAAACTATTTTTATACTGTGTTTTGTGGTGCCCTGGGGCTCCAGCTGAGGAGGGGACCAAGCAGGTAAAGCTTACTTCCTCTCTGCTCCCTGCTTTCACTAGAGCAATACCATTCTTCAACTTTATTTTTATTGATTTTAGAGAGAAACATTTATTTGTTGTTTTACTTATTTATGCATTTATTGGTTAACTTTCGTATGTACCCAGACCAAGGATCAAACCCGACACCTTGGCATATCACCACAGCCCTCTGACCAGCTGAGCTATCTAGCCAGGTCTGTTCTTCCACTTCATGTATTTTACCTACTGTATTAGTCAACTTGGGCTGCCATAACGAAATATCAGACTGGGTGACTTAAACAAGATTAATTTCTTTCTCATAGTTCTGGAGGCTGGGAAGTGAGGGAGCCTTCTGTTGAAGCTCTCTGATGTCTCTCACAAGGGCACTAATCCCATTATAAGGGCCCCACCCTTGTGACCTGTTCTAACCTAATTACCTCCCAAAGGTCCCATCTCCCAGTACCTCACATTGTGGATTAGTGCTTCAACATGAATTTGGGTACACATTTGCTCTATAGCACTTAAAGATAAGTTGTTTGGGGAGACAAAAATTTGCTGCTTTTAAATTTTAAAAATAGATAACGATGTCTCCTAGTTGAGATTTGCTAAAATCTTAATCAGATTCACAAGTATAATAGGATCTCAGGCCATCTAGAATTCTAAGCCATGCTTAAAATGTTAGTGTCACATAAATGAGGAAATTTAACATTTTGTTAAGTTTTTGCTATGGTCATGTTTTATGTTAGACAATTTTAAATGGTTATTTAGACTAGCGTTCCTTAAAGCTTACTTAGATTTAAAAGATATTCTTTTTTCTAAAATAAAAAAGGAAACCTTTAAAGAGGTTAAATTCCCATGGTCATACTACATAAAATGATGACACCAGCTCTTTAGTCATAAATGTTTAGGATTTTTCCACAAGATTACATTTTGTTCAAGCTTCCAATACTTTTTTTTTTAAATATATTTTATTGATTTTTTACAGAGAGGAAGGGAGAGGGATAGAGAGTTAGAAACATCGATGAGAGAGAAACATCGATTCAGCTGCCTCCTGCACGCCCCCTACTGGGGATGTGCCCGCAACCCAGGTACATGCCCTTGACCGGAATCGAACCCGGGACCCTTTAGTCAGCAGGCCGACGCTCTATCCATTGAGCCAAACCAGCTAGGGCTTCCAATACTTTTTTTATGCTGTTCCTTGATTACCAGTTTAGATCCTTGCCTTCTCTCATCCACCAGACATCCTGACTTGTCCTCTTCAGACACCACTGAGGAGGTTCCAAAGCTTTGGGAAACTGCTAAGATAACACTCAACCAGTTAAACTCTTAGATAGGCCAAGTTAAATTGAGCTTCAGGTATTGTCCTTATTCTTACAGCTTCATGTCCTGGCAGCTAATAATGAGAGCTCTTAGGTATATTTTACATCAGTTTTTAACACTCCTGCCTTTGAGATGCACTCTAAGAGGAAACAGAAATAAGTCTAGTTGACACTAATAAACCCAGAACAGTCTTGGTTAAGCCTCCCAACAAACCTCTAAGACAAGGACAGTTCTTATCCCCAATTTTAGGCTAAGCTATAGATACCACATAGATTATATGTTAGGGAACAGAACCTTGTGTGCAACTTGATATCACAGTTTTTGCTGTAAACCACTACACTGCAGAATGCTGCTTTCCTAAGAACAGGTTCTCTGTTACATATTCCTGCCATGGCTGCCTTAGTGCTGTAATTCTGTTTCCAGAATTGTACACCTGGAAGGTCATGTCCATCGAACGTTTTGTAGCAGACGTTTTCACACATTTTGTCACTGAATGAGTTTTATTGGATATTCACTTTTAAAAAGCTAGTGTTTATGTTTGAGATGTATGTCCCAGTTTAGTGGCTTGGCACAGTTCTTAAACGAAGGACTTAGTTATATTTTCTTAAGCAAAAGCAAATAATGTCCAAGGGGTAGCAGTTAAGAGCAGATTTAAGATGTGGATGTGAGAATTGTAAAAGCTACTGAATGATCAGACCCCTAGTTCCAGTCCTGCCAGTTATTGAAGACATTGGGTGTCCAGCTGCCCTGCAGGAGAAAGACTCAAGCAAGGCTGTCAGAGTGGCTGAGACAGAAGAGGTCTCTGTTAGCAGTGGATGAGCAGCCAAGATGTACAGAAACTGTATAGACGGTGGGGGAGTCCAAGGGAGGTTCTGCCAAGTATGGCCTGACAGTTCTTTTTTAAACTTGCCAACACAGGACATGCTAAGTTAAAACATCTCCACTGTTGCTTAGTTACCGTAACACACAAAAATCCCAAGGACTATGCTTAATACCTGGATCCCTTGAATGCCCAAAGAAATCTTTACCAAAAAAAGACCAAAGTACATGACTAATGATCAGGACTTGTACTTGAGCTTTTTATAGAAGTGGTATGAAAAGGAGTATAGTAATGTGAACTAGGAAGAACCTCTTTACAAACTTCATGAGATTTTTTCCCCCCATTGATTTTAGAGAGAGAGGAAGGGAGAGTGAGAGCCATCGATCTGTTGTTTACGTGCTCTGACTGAGGATGGAACCCACAACCTTGGCGTATCAGGATGATGCTCTAACCAACTGAGCTACCCAGCCAAGGCTTTCACGAGATTTCTTATTTGAAAGGTGGTAACAACTCTCCACCTCGGGGGCATCCGTGATAGAAATTCCACCGAGTTCTAGATGGCAAGCTTCACGGTTCAGTGAGCAGCACAATTGCTGGGGATTTGAGGGGCAGAGTTGTGAGCTCTCAGCACAGTCCTGCAATGATTTGGTACAACTGACTAGCTTCCTGTGCTCCTTATTAACTGTAACACAGATAATATTGCTCAAAGTACCACAGGAAAATGGAACATTCTTCCTTCCCTAGACAAAGGGGTCTATTTAGTGTATTCACATAACTGAAAGAATACACGTTGAATAGTATCTATATGAATGTTCCTTTTTTTTTCAGTTTGTCAAGTTTGAGGGCTAAACGTTACACAACGTGACAATACATTAACATTTATTGAACATCAACCTTGCACTGTAAGTGGTCAGATATGCCAGTTTTCCTGGAACGATTCTGGTTTATGTTGTTCAGGCATAGTTATTATTAGCACACGCAATGTATTCTCAAAAGTGTCCTGGTTTGAAGGATAAATTATATGGTGGTTCTAACTATAACAAAAAATACGAGTGAAGATTTTCTGTGTTTATTTCCTGAGATAAAAAACTTGTCCTGAAAATCATGTCTTAGCCTCGAAGTTGATCCTTTGGTTCACATATATTATTTGTTCTTATACTGCATCCAAGTCACTTCATTGCAGCTGGATGGCCTTCAGCAAATCCCAAAGCTAGAAGGGAGCACATTTCAGTCGGACAGGAAGCCAGGCTTTCTGTGGGGATAGAGAAGCTCTTTCAAGAAGGAGAGAGGGGAATAAGGTTTCCTACTTTTCTGGGCATCTTGCCAACAGTTTCTGCCTCATGACCTGTGTCTCTTTTCCCCCAATTCTGAAAGCAATTTCCCTTAAAAGTTCCAAATTTTTTCCTAACTTAATCCTCTCATAAACTGAGTAGCACTGAAATTATTTCCAGTGGTTTTTTTTTGTTGTTGAGAGAGGGGGACTTCTTTCAACTGCTGCATACAAACATTACCAAATCTATGGTACAATTGCATTTTATTTCCTCCAGACCTGGGCTGACATGACTCTAAATCACAGTAACGGCGGTGGGGAGGAGACAGTGAAATTATTTCAGAGGGTGCATTAGTGGCAGGAGTAAGTGATAAAAACGTGTTAAACCGCTTCAGAAATACCTATTGGTTGAAGTACTAGTTCTCAATAGTTTGGTGTTTGGGGCACTTAAAAAAATATATATATATATATATATATATATATATATATATATATATATATATATATATTTCAGAGGGAGAGAGAGATAGAAATATCGATGAGAAAGAATCATTGATCAGCTGCCTGCACACCCCACACTGGGGATTGAGCCCGCAACCCCGGGCATGTGCCCTGACCAGGAATCGAACCGTGACCTCCTGGTTCATAGGTCGACACTCAGCCACTGAGCCATGCTGGTTGGGTTGGGGCACATTTTTTAATACTAGGACCTGTAGCTCTCCTCTAAGGATTAAAGGCTGCATGAGTTAGCACACTAGTACTCATCAGGCTGTTTAGTAGGATGCCTACTACCACAGCCAAGTTCTTTCACAGTTACACCAGTTTCTCGCACGTCGCAGGAAACACTTTTTCTTTGTTGCTTGGTGCTGGCTTAACGGGATACTCCCTCTTCCCTCCTGCAGCTCCTCACCATCTGTAGCACCCTGTCAGCTTCACATTCCGACAGCCGTTGCCATGCAAGTGCCTGTCCCCCAACTGGCAAAAATTCATTTTGCACGTTGTCCACATTTTGTGACACAGCTGTTCTCGGTACACCATTATGCTGCCGGATTTGTGAAGTTAGAATCGGAAACAGCTCACTGAAAATTGGAGTGAATAGACAGAGAAACCTCAAAATACCCTAAATTTGAATATGCATTTGCTGTTAGCACCTTTCTTAACAAGGACTGAAGAATCACATCTGACTTATTTATCTGAAAATCATCACTCTCTATTCATACTCTCATATAATAAAAGCATATTGCATTGCCCGAGGGGGACTGGAGGAGGGATGTGACTGGGGTGGGGGACCTGGAGGACTTGGTACTGTCTGATAATATTCTGTCGAGGGGGTGGTGGCTATACATGAGTATTCATTGTATTTATTTAACTCCAAACACCTGTGATACTCTTGTATGTATAGTTCACATGTTTTTCTAAAAGCATATGGAATCTGAGCAGCTAATATTGAAAGGAAACCCCAGTTTCACCCAGGCTCTCCGAGAAAGGCCTAACTGTAGTGGTGACAGATCCTGAGACATGTAACAGTAGTGCCTAGAGCTGGTGTGATTTCCTTCATGCTAAAGTGAAGCTCTCGGTTGCTTTAGGAAACGAACAGTTGTGAGCATACAGGGTCTGTGCAGCGGACCATTGAGTCTAGTGGAGTCTGACAACAGCACCAAGAGATTTTTTGTGAAAGAGCATAATTGCAACATAAACCCAGCAAGCCACACCCAGCACTAGACGTGCAGAGGCTATTGTGAAGCCTTCCATTGTGTAAGGCTTTGTGTTGGGCCAGCACAAGGAGAATCACAGAACACTGAGCC